CTACCACTATTTCAACTCATTAACAACCATCTGGATAGATGGCATTTGCCTCTAAATCTTCCATCCCGTTTCCTCCTTCTGTGTCTACAGGCCTCTCCCTGCTTGACTTTTCCTTTCTTTGTTGATGTTTAATGTTGTGGAATTGGAACCATTTTCTATCAACTCTGTATGAGGAAGAAATATGCTTGAAAAGTGATCTCTGTTAGAATCAGGGCAGGTAACTCCTCCTCGGCAATTGACCTGCTTTTACTTCCCCAAATAAAGCAAGACTTCATCTCTCTTCTCTAGCTTGATCACTGGTCTATGGTCTGAGTTTGACCCCTGCATATAAATAAAACTCAATGTGCCACTCATGTGGACATTAGTTTACGTAGCAACCTTGGGACAACTTCTTGAAATGAAGAGTTAGCAACGAGTTCCCATTTACACACCTCATTCATACAGACGGGCCTCTCTGAAGACGCAGAAAGGCCACTGAGTGGGGGCAAAGTCCAAGTCTTCATCAGAAATTGACACCCAGTAGCATCCAGTTTTATGAATACAGTCAGCGCATATTTTAGTGTTTTTTAAACTGTCTGTTTAAAGAGCCAGTCAGAATGAACAAAAGTAGCATCTGGGGTTCAGCCTTTGCCCCAAGCATTCTGGAAACGGTAACGGTAGATGGATATGCTAGTAATAACAGTATAATCCACAGGGCAGCAACAAAAGCATAGTAACAAAGAGCCTGGCTTTGGAGCCATGACTGCCTGAATCCAGATCCTAACTGATGGCCTTGGGATGCTTCTACTCACTGAGAAATCACAGTTCCTATTAGATGGGGTGCTTGCAGGCCTCATGAGATGTATTTGTACCTGCTTAGAGGACACCTCACTATACACATAGCTACTTAAAGAGCGTTTTCCGCCGAGCGGTGGTGGTGCACGCCTTTAATCCCAGCACTTGGGAGGCAGAGGCAGGCGGATCTCTGTGAGTTCGAGGCCAGCCTGGGCTACAAAAGTGAGTTCCAGGAAAGGCGGAAAGCTACCACAGAGAAACCCTGTCTTGAAAAACCTTTAAAAAAAAAAAAAAAAAGAGTATTTTCCATGTTGCAAAACGTTTTATGTTCTCTGTTTCTACTTTACATGTCTCTCCCTATCCTATTTATCACCACAGTCATGACCCTTCAATTAAGAAACTGGAACTAAGAAAAGTTCAGTAGTTGTCCAAAACTCGGGGATAGTGGCAGAGAAGGAATTAAATCCAAACTTTTCTACATTCAGAATCTGATCCCCCAATCCAGTGATTCTCAACCTTCCCAATGCTGTGACCCATTAATACAGTTCCTTATGTTGTGGAGACCCCAGCCATAAAATTATTTCATTGCTACTTCATAACTGTAATTTTGCTACTGTTATGAATCATAATGTAAATATCTGATGTGCCGGATATCTGACATGCTATCCCAAGAGAACCACATGTTGAGAACCACTGTTCCAATGAGCCAATCCTAACTGTAAAAATTTTCCTTTTAGGAGCAGGAGAGATGGCTCAGAGGTTAAGAGCACTGGCTGCTCTTCCAGAGGTCCTGAATTCAATTCCCAGCAACCACATGGTGGCTCACAACCATCTGTAATGATATCTGGTGCCCTCTTCTGGCCTGCAGGCACAACACTGTATACATAATAAATACATTTAAAAAAATTCTCATTTTAAAACATTATCACTGAAGAACCATGTACATTTACAAGTAATTTCAAGATGGAAAACCTAACTGACAATATCCTACAGCTAAGGACAGCAGATCTGTACTAGTCACATATAAAATGCATTTATATAGTAAGTGTTACAACCCCTCCCCCTTACCTATTACTCAATCTCACTGTGATCCTGGGAAAGAGAAAGTGAATTCCTGTAACTGCAGATTTTAATATAATGAAGCTATAGTAAATATTTTTTCAGTACTGTGCATCAAACCAAGGCCTTGGGCAACCAAGGCAGATGCTCTACCACTGAGCTCTCTGTAGACAGAGATTAATAAAGTATCAAAAACATGTCACCATCCCCGCTGACTTCCTTGCACACAAACCTGATTACATCACAGCGCTGCTTCCAAACCTTTCAGAGATTCTCCACTGTGCACAGCAGGAGCAGCCCCAGGGGCTCAGGCCAGCACCAATGTACTTTCTACCACCCCTTGCAATCCCTATGCTTAGCTAGCTGCACATTTACACAAGTCCCCAATCTTTGTCCATGAAGTCCCATCCCTTTGAAGTGGCCTCCCCTGTCACCCTAATTCTATCAAGCTCTTTTGATCTCAGATCAAGTGGTACTTCCTCTCAACACCCTTCCAGGAGCCTCCCACATCTCCCTTCTCCCCAAGGTTAATTAGACTCCTCCGGGTTCTTTTAATATTAGGTGCGTCCAGCCATGAGGGCTAATCTCTGCAAGCACGTTGTTACTGTCTGGCAACACATTTATTTGTCACATTCACTATGACTGTTTAAAGGCACAACTGTGCTACATTCTGTGCTTTCCTGCAGAAGCTCAACGACTGTGCTAACTACAGAATTAAGCTATCCTGCAGCCCACGTGGCTTTTTGACTCAGGGGACATTTCACAAACAACTCTACCTTTTTAATGGCCTTAAAACATACGGTGAACTCTTACCTCTTTTACTACTAAAATGAGCACCACAGACTTCTCCCTGTTCCTGAACTGCACTTGAGTTTCAAGAAGAGTGTAAAATGTGTTGTAAAATTAGAAGTGGACGTCTTAATGACACGCTTTCCAACTCTCCTTACCACCCGGTTCCCTTGGATAGACTACACCCTCACTGCCATGGGTACACGGTGGCCAGTCTGATACATAATATACCTGAATCTCCTCATTTAGACACACAAGCGAGTAAAGAGACATTGTGGTCAGGCCTCCAACTCTGTCCTCCATGTGGAATTGTCATCTATGGTTTGGAGAGCAAGCGTAGTTTATCAATATTTTAAAAAGCAGTCCTATGTCTCTACACTTCCATACTGTTTGTTGTTCGTTTTGTTTTATTCTATGTTTGAAGAGTTTGTGTGATTTTAGAAGCAGACACTTTGAGGCCTCAGGAACCCACCTCAGACTCAGTGGGCACTTCACAATGAACAGCACTGGCCTCTGCCCTCAGGTCTGCAGCACTACTGTCCCCAGCGCCCCCATGCCTTCTCCACCCTCAGTGCTCACTGGTGGGTAAGTGACAAAGGCCTGGTAATTAGTTCTGCAGTATACGTAATCACGTCACCATGGACAAACACCTACCTGCTTCTTTCTATCTCATAAGCTCCTTCCTCACGACACAAACGAAACATCCACCTCCCTGCAAAAACTACATGGTGTCGGGTGTGGTGGTGCATGACTTTAATCCCAGCATTCAAGAGGCAGAAGCTTGCAGATCTCCAAGAGTTTGATGCCAGCCTGATCGACATCCAGAGTCCCAGACTAGCCAGGGCTATACAGTTATCAAAACAAACCAACAAAAACAAACGCACAAAAACCAAAACACCAACAGAACTGCACAGAACAGGCATCCTGCTCTGGTGCCCTGGGCTTGCCACAGGCCCCAAGAGCTTGCACACACCTTCCCTTCACCTCTGTCCTTTGGTTGAGCCACAAGTCTGGGTCTGCCAGTGCCCCTCCTCTCCCTTGAGTGTCAGAGCTGCAGGGGGCTCTCCACAAGACAGAGGCAGACCTGATGACTAAACCCTTCCAGACAGGAGAGCAGGACAGCCCAGGCCCAAACCACCTCTCTCTCTAGCTTGGCTTCCAGCTGCCATCCTCCCCCATCCTCTTCCCCTTCCTGCTCCACCCCTCCTCCTCAAAGGCTGGGTGACACCAGCCAGCATCTCACAGCAGAAGCCAAAAGAAGCTCAGGGCTGTTGCCCCAGAAACCCTGACTACAGAGTGCCTGGCCAGGCTGTTTGTTTTCATTATAATCAAAAAATCCCACTGGGGGGACCCTATGGAGGCTCTAGGCTGCCGGGGCGGCTGAAATCAAAGCCCCAGTTTTGCATTACCTGGGAAGGAAAAGCAGAAGAAACTATGAGCGCACAGCCCCCAACTCCTGCCTAGTTATAACTGGGGACGGTGGTGGCGGGGGGGAGACCTGAACATCTGGCCTTTGGCCTTTGTGAGTCAATCTCCAGAGACATACCCAGTCCATCCAGCCCTATTACCATTTCCAAGGGAAAAAAAAAACTGTTAAAGGAATGCAGAACTATCCACCCGGAAGCCACTCTCCTGCCTGCGGACCCGTACATAAGCACAAGCCCCATGGGAACCACAGGGCCTGAAAGCTGCTTTCCTTGGTGTTCTCAGTTTTCAGCTATGTAAAACAAGCTATCCCTCTAGTTCGGCTTGTATGGCCAATGCAAGGGAACACCCCACAACACAGGACAGAAACACTGGCATCTCCCCATGCATTCATTAACCCAGAGTACATGATGGCCCCCTCCCAAACACTAAGGACACAAAGCCCCTATGGCCACATGATGCTCACAGAAAAGCTACATTTAAAAAAAAAAAAAAAAAAGACATCCAAATTGCCGGGTTGTGCTCGGCATCCTAGGTACCAAAATCCATAAGACTTGAGTTAAACCTGCGTAGCTCCGTGCCCTTGGGCAGGAAAAAGGAAACCAAGGCTGGCCTCCCACAGCCTCTAGCAAAATACTCCACAAAGTCAATGGTATTAGCACTCTCAGGTTGCCTTGATGGTTAGTGTACATCAACAGCAAACTTGAACACAGATACCTGTAAATATCTGCTTGCTTTTAGAATCTATCGATTCATCCAACCAGAAAGCACAGCCAAACAGCTTAGTCACCAGCGCAGGCAGGCAAGGCGCTCCGTGAAGTAAACATGGTCAGTTCCTCCCCCACCTGAGACAAATTTCTACCCAGTGCATCAGCTTGCAGATACAGCGCCGGGGAACAGATGGGTGAATTTCTGTCACCCCCCATCTCCACTCCATCCCCTCCCCCACTTACCTGCTATCCGAAGCACAGCCCTCTCAGCCGGGTCCAGCACCGAGCCCCCTTGAATCTTTCTTTTGGACCGCTCATGTTTAGGCAAATTCCAGGGTAAGGTGTCTCCAGGAGCTGGAGATGCTGAGCCAGATTTCTGGCTGAAATCATCCTCATCAGAGAAATCCGCAGAAGAGGACATGGAGCAGCGGTAGGACGCGTTCCCGGAGCTCTGAGGAGGATGACACAGGAAAAGCATTAGCGACAGAATGCTCACAGACGATCCTCGCTCACAAACGATCATCAATTACGATAACTCGGCCCCCTCCCCGCCTGCAAACTGCTCTGCCCCCCAGAGAACACACACGCAAATAAAAACAAGACGGACTCCGGGGCTCACCATATTTTCTTGGCCAAGTCGGCTCCAATACAAACAATAAGCAAGCAGTCCCGACGCATGAAGACCAGAAGGAAGAAGTGTGTGGCCTGCGCTCCAGCCACCAGCTCAACAAATGACTGGCCCAACCAACAATGAAGCCAGAATCAACAGCCTTCCTGTGACAAATCTACAGTATCTGGCTCCCCCACCAGGACGGGAGAAACATTTTCCATTACTAGCCTTCTGGTTAATTCATTACGGCAACTAACTTTAAGTTTCAAAAACAAAGCACAAATGCAGGATGTTGGGTCCCACCTCCTTTCCGTTTCAAGCCGCTGCCGAGTCGCAGGAACCTCCTTTTAACCAGTTTTTGATCCCTGGGTCCTCTTTATTTAATTTGCTGCATGAGACTGAAGCAGGTTCCCAGAAAAGGGCGAGGAGGGAGGGAGGGCTGATTCTGAGAAGAGCCTTTTCTTAAGACTGGGAGAACACAAAAGCCTGTTTTCAAAAGCAGAAGGCAACGCCAATAAACAAACATCTGAACTCAGTTTAGAGTTCTTGAGATAATTTAAACTTCCAGCAGGGAACAACTGCCAATAATGTAAATGAGAAGGACACAGTGCAGTGACAGGAAGCCCAGCTCTTCTCAGTTGCAGCCATCACAGAGTAAGATGAGAAACACAGACTTTTACCAAAAACACTTTGCCTAAAGGCTATCCCTCCCGGATTCAGCAGGAGCTTGGTACCCTCAGGCTCGGGATTTTTCTTCCATAAAAAGGCCCATGGTGTTATTCCTTTTTTATTAGATTGTGTCTGTGACTGTTTAGACAGCCTGCAGCTCCGGGAGAAAAGGAGAAAAGATACCGAATATCTGGGCTGTGGACTAGATTAAAAAGTCTAAAAAGTACTGAAGGGGAAAGTGTTCATTTGCCTCTTTGCTGAGGCTCAAGGTGAAGAAGATGCCAAACTCGCATAACTTGAATTCCAAGAGATGCAAGCTGCAGCCATGGATTCCCAAGCAGCAAGCGGCAGGCGGAAATCAGCTGGGTGCAGCAGGCTCCAAGTTGAGGCAAAAACACTAGCAACTGCGCACCAATGGGCTGTGTGAGCAACTTCCAAAGCACCCACACACAGCTTGTGAAACAGACTATCACCGAATCAGGACCACTGACCTGACCGCCTTCCATTCAAACCACAGCTGTTCATGGCCAAAGCTACTATTGCAAAAGTTCGTACAGCCCTACAAAACGAGGCATGCTAAGATTTCTTTAGTTTATGTTCACTTTCCTAGTAATAGGCAGGCAGTAAGCAGACCTGAGGAAACTAAATAAATAAAGCTGAATTTCTGTATTTTAAGCTACAGTCCATGGAGAGCTGTGTGTGGCCAACCCAATTTATTTCCCCAAGCTTCTCTGAAAATTCAACTTGAGTTAGATATCTGGGGTTTGCTGTTGGCGGAACCTAAAGGGAAGGGTGACATTCTTAAGGACTTTGCGGGGATATTGGGGTTCTTTGGTGGCCCCGCGGGGATATTGGGGTTCTTTGGTGGCCCCGTGTTCCTCAAAACGGCTTCCTACTTGTCCTTTCTTAAGGCCATCCTTTATCTCTGAGATTCTACGTCCGCACTATCTAGTGAGACCAGTAATTGGTTAATCTCTACTGAGGTGGAAGGGATAACTGCTCCTTTCCAAAAACCACTGGTTATTGATTTTTGCAGAGTAAATTTTTTTAATGGTCAGAGTCTCAGCTGACTGAACAACAAAATGTGATTTATGCCATGACACCAACACTATTAATCACCTACAGCCAGATGGGAACAGTTAGTACCCTGGACCCAAGGGTGTTGACTGGCACAGCCTCTAATCTGCTCCTGTCCTTGATAACTAGATGGAAGAGAACAGTAAGAAAAGAACAGCCAGGACCCAGTCTACTATAGGGACATGCAGACCACACACATTTATGTCAGACATGTTTAGAAGCAGTAGTGTCCCTTCTTGTCTACAGGGTTCAAGACTTTTAACAGTTAGAGTATTATACTTTTTTCCAAACACACACACACACACACACACACACACACACACACACACACACACGCAAAATCACTTTTAGAACTGGAGGTGCACTCTACAAAATTAAAGCCCACTTGAAAGCTGAAAATTGAGACTATTTAAATGAAGCTACTTCAAAGTGGAGAGCTCATATAAATTTTTATATTCCTTATTGATCTGCAGTGACTTGCCAAATCATGTCACTACCTTGGGGCTGGAGAGAACAGTGTGAGAACGAACATTACTGTGTTTTACTCGTTTGAGGAAAAGTAAAGAGTTCTCTGACCCAACCCTAGAGCCTGACCTTTGATGGGGACTTCAAACAGTAGGACAAAGGACAAAGGCTCCCAGGAGCAGCAAAAGCCCCAGGTTCCGATTTCTTATTCTACTGGTTGCCTAAAGATAGACTCCTATCAAAATACAAATATCCATGTGCATCCAAAGGGGATTATTAAATATACTGTATCTATCCGATGGGTTACTCGGCAGCAAGTAACCAAATATGTTCATCTACATTTAACAAAGAGGAAATAATTCATATATAATGAAACTTTTAAAAATCCATACACATATGTGCACCCATTTGTGTGTATAAAGACTGATGATATAGTACTATTAAACAGTGGTTATTTCCGCGCAATGAGAAAGCAACATGTTTCATTTGTTTCTTACAATTTTTAAATTCAAACAAATAAAAAAAATCACCAAAAGGAAATGTCCAGAGAAAATATCAGATATGGAAACTCTTACGTTTGGGGCTCATGAGCACCACTAAAAAGTAAGCGGAGCCCACTGAAGCCTCCTCCCAGGGCAAAGCAAACAAACACTTACACTGAACCACATTAGCAAATGTATAGGATTCTCTGGCCCCCTGACCCTGGGGTTAGGACTCCAATTCACAGCCCCTCTGTCATCACCATTTGCTGATAACATGCAGACTAGGAAGGAAGTGGTTCACCAGAAAGGGAAAGGGTGACTTGGGCGGGGAAGACAAGGCTGACATTTTGTCACCCCCTCCCCCAAAAATGGGTGTGCACACTACCTCTGTGCTCATGTTGAGTCACTATAACCAAAATAAATAAAAACACCAGGCTCTGATAACCAACCCTGAGCTGTGTCTTCTACAACCTGGGAAACTAAACCAATTTTAACAATCAAATTAGATCACTAAATGATTCGCTCTAACTTTCCTGATAGTCAGTTCATTTACGTGGTACAAAAACAACCCAAATCTCCTAATGCCAGGATAATTACATAATGTGACATTTTAAAATGAACAATAACTTTTTAATTGAAGTCCCAGGACAGTGGGACTGCCTAACTGGATGCGGCCCAGCCTGCACAGCCTGGTCTGTGAAAAACTGCCAGGAAATTGTCTTGGCACTGGGTACCCTCCAAAGGCAATGGACTATACAGCAAGAATTACCTCAAAAGACAAAGGTATGGAAATACAGACATCAAAGACTAGTTTGTATTTAAGTATCTACAAATAGACTTTTTGTAGGAAGAACATTTTAAATAATTTACCAAAGAGAAAAGCAAATACATCTCTGAAAATAGCCCCACAACACAGAAATCAGAACCACAAATAAAATACCGAGACACTTCTGTAACTAGACAATACTTAATCTTGCACTTTACGGTGATGTTTGTTTATGTCAGTCAGTTAAAAATCTATCTTACCTATCTATAGGCTCCTTCCTTGAAGGAATCTGAAAGCTGCCGGAAGTACAGAGGGATAAAATAGCAGACTTACAAGGAAGTATCTGTCCTTACAAATTCAGCTTCAAATGTATCTTCTGGGAATACTATAGCAACACTCATACAGTAAGTCAATTACAAGGGAATCATGGACTCTGACTGGTCCACCAAACTGCAGCAATGGCACACCTCTGGGAGAACACTACCCAGGATTGCCAAGGGCTGGCAAAGGTTGGCGTAAGTGGGGTGTACTGGGGTCAGCCTGGCAGGTTTTTTGTTTGTTTTTCTTTTTCTTTTTTCTTTTCTTTTTTTTTTTTTTTTTTTTTTTTTTTGGTTTTCCGAGACAGGGTTTCTCCGTGTAGTTTTGGTGCCTGTCCTGGATCTTGCTTTATAGACCAGGCTGGCCTCGAACTCACAGAGATCCACCTGGCTCTGCCTCCTAAGTGCTGGGATTAAAGGCAAGCGCCACCACCACCACCACCACCACCACCGCTAGCCTGGCAGTTTTCAAAGGCAAATTAATTGCAAATATTTAACACTAAGGAGACTTCATATGAAAATTCAGGGGTGGAACACATGCGCTCTTCATTCTGACACAGTCTTCATCTGGCCCTTTTCCTTTCTTTAATGATACACTAGTATGAGAAGCCTGTCATTAATTCATTATACTCAGAGAGTAAAGGAAAGATAAAGGCTGGAAGGAAGGAGGCACAATGCTAGCAACAGAATGGGAGAAAAGCGGTTTGTTTCGTTTTGTTGTTTGTTTGTTTTTTGAGACAGGGTTTTTCTGTGTTGTTTTGGTGCCTGTCCTGGATCTCACTCTGTAGACCAGGCTGGCCTTGAACTCACAGAGATCTGCCTGCCTCTGCCTCTGAGTGCTGGGATTAAAGGCGTGCGCCACCGCCACCGCCCGGCTCCAAGTGTTTTTAATGAAACAGGAACTATAGAGGACGGACAGAAAAAGACAAAAAGGAGGCAGCTATCGAATATTTTAGTTAAATGGGTATCCAATAAACACCAGGTGACATGACCTTTCTCTAAGTGCTGAGTTAATCTCCTCTATTACAGTAAAGATCTTTAATTCCAGGAAATGTTAGAGAACTG